GTGGTGTTTGTGCTGTTTGAATGCAGGTGTGCAATAACAACAGGAACTGTCACTGTGAACCAGGCTGGGCCCCTCCTTACTGCGACGTGACAGGCTACGGCGGGAGCGTGGACAGTGGGCCGCCCTACAGTGGCAAGTCAAGGTCGTGGCTGCTCTGGGGCCGTGGCCCTGCCTGCTGTGGGGCTGAGCACAGGGCTCCTCACGGCTCCAGAGCGATGCCTCGGTGGTTGGCTCTTCCCTGGGTGTCATCTGCAAACAATTCTAGTTGAGGTGGTGGGCTCAAGGGCTTGCGCTTCTCCTCTGGGATGCTGGGGATGTGGAAAGGAACCGGGCTGGTTTCATTGCCCCCCAGGTGATTTCAGACACATTGGAACCAAGATCCTCTTGGACTTCCCTGTTTCCAAGCAGGAAATTGTAGCCCTTTCTATTCAAAAGTTGAGATTTAGCTGGGGATATGGGTTCAAATGCATGGGTTTGACTCTGCATCTCCATAAGGATGCGCTGCTTCTAACAGTGGTGGCAATGATGAGTAGCTGTCCTGTTCTGGTCCCTGCATGTGCACTCATCTGGCAGAGGTGGGCTGGGGCAACGCTGGTTGGGAAGCCACTGGTTTATTAGTGTTTGTTACTTGAGTGCAGACAGCATGCTTACAACATGTAGTAAATACATACAGAGTCCCTGCCCCAACCAACTTAAGGTATTGAAGAGAGGTGGAGGGAAAGGATGCTGTGGTGGTGCAGTAACAGGCTGGAGAATCACAGTGGAGCAAGGACAGATGCCTCAAGACAACAAAAGGGAAGGGTCTTTTAGTACAGCTTTGTTAAGAACCTGAGTTCTTTGCCTACGGCAAGCAATGGTAGGAGAAGAGGAAGATTTAGGATCAGCCCAAAAGGCAGAAGTTCTCTTTCAGTTGAGCTCGTAAGGTCTTCGCAGTAATGTAGTGGAAGAAAAATGAGGTATTGATCTAGTAATTCAATGTGCTGGTCTAGCCCAGGGTAGTAGAGCATGCACAGTTCTTTCACCTCTGACCAGATGTGAGGAGATAATCAGAAACTAATACATTTGGGCATAGATCTTGCAGTCTTCTTCGAGTCTTTAGCTTTTGCTTCTATGACAAATGGAAGTTGGAGCACAAATGGGACCAAACGCAGCTACAGCGGGCCCAGCTACGATGCCGTGTAATTCTTTATTCCTCTGTCGTTTTGTCCCCTTCCCACAAAGACTCCTCGCTGAGGAACGGGCTCCTGGTGTTTTTCTTCCTGGTCCTCCCACTCCTTGTAGCTGCTGCCCTGGCATTTGTGAAACGAGACAGGCTGAAGCGGTGGTGTCGAGGAGCGATGTCGCGCTGCCACGCGTACGTACATCTCCCTCTTCCCTTCTCCTCTGCCCTTTAGCAGTAGTCCATGGGCACTTGTTCCAGGCATGTTCTAGTCCTGAGATGTCAGGCATCAGTTGATGCCTGTAGCTTGCCCCGGGCAGTGACAGAAAAGATCAATTCATCTTAAATTGAGGGAGCAGAGAACTTTCTTTTTACCTTTAAGTTATCTGTTGGTGATGGGCTTTGTATTTTTGGGTCCTATCTTTAATAGAAAGTGGGCAAATGACTCTGTCATGATCCTAAACAGAGAAAAGGCTATGTTGTTCCTCAGATTTGCTGCAAGTATCTTCCTGACATCTGATACATGCTGACATGATATAAACCCATCCAGCAGGTTCGCTGTGCTTGGCTCTGTGGCCTGCAGAGTCATTCTGTCAGGGTTACATGCTCACACACTCCACATTGTTGGGTTTTAGGTCACGGCCATCACCACCTCCTAGGACAGAAGCTGAGCCAAGAGGCCACCACCATCACCACCAAGGCTTGTCGCACGGCATGCCCTATGCACCGAGGGGTGCCCCTATGGTAGGAACAATCTCCTCTTTGTCACTTTCCCCCCCCATAGGAAGTGTCTTAAATGTCCCTTAACTGATGGAACAAGTGTTGCAATTCCCTACGTGCAGGTTTGTGAATGTTCTTGTGTTTTCTTCATAGGCTATGGAGCCAAACACCTTTCCTGTCCCATCTTACCCAGTTAACCAGCACCCTCAGCAGGCTTACCACCAGTCTTACTACCCACCTCTGCAGTACCAGGCCCCACAGCCACAGAAGCTGCCGACAAGGTTGGCTGAGTTATTGCACATAACTACTGCTATTTGCACTGATGTGTATATACTGTCATTGTCTTCATCTCTATAAGCACTGGGGTGTTTCATCACGTGCTGTACACACGCAGGACTGACCTTTTATTGCAAGAAGCTTCTCCTTCATTTCACACTGTGGAGCTACAGTGCTATTACCCCTAGCATTCATTTCACACCCTGTCACAGCTACATTTTGATTAACAGGATTCAGAATGCTTTTGTGGGGCCAGATTAGCCCCGTGTACAGGGGCATAAAACACCTCTCAAAATACCTGATTTAAAAAGAGATCACTCAGGAATCTGTCGTTCTGCTGATGGGGGAGTGCTGTTGCTCAGTACAGGATCATTGCTCAGGAACTTTGAACAGAAAAGTTTTCCTTTCCTTTTCATTTTACTTCTAAGATGTAATGCCTGTGCTGGAAACCATGCGTGTCCAGAAAGGGCAGGGGGTGGAGCTTGTGTTGGGGGGAAACTTGTGGGGTCTTTGGGAAGAATGCTGTATTAACACACTGGGTTCCCTGGGGATTTCGGGCACTGGAAAGCAGCATCTGACCGCAGCCCATTTGAGATGGGGCTTCAGCTGGAAGCTGAGGTTGTGGCCATGCAGTGCAGGCAGGGGATGAGTGATGGGGCAGCCACTGGGGCTCACCATGGCTCCTGTGTCCTCTTGCAGGCCACCACCTCCGCAGCAGCAGCAGTGTGCACCTCAGGGACCGCCTCCATCACAGCACAGGTGTTTACCTCAGGGACAGTACTTCCCTTCTCGACCCGCACCTTTGCCTCCCAAATAGCTTTTGGCTTCTGTGGGGCCTTGACGTGAGCTGACCTGGTCACTGAGAGCTGAGATTGCAGTTAACCCTTCGGCCATGGAAGTGGCCCTCGAGCCTTCCCGCTGCGGCCCGGGATGAGGCGGACGAGATACAGCAAGGAGGAATGTACCACTTTAAATACCTCTACCAAAGCTCCAGGGACTGACAACACCGAACCCCCATTCCCAGCTTTGGGAACAGCACCGGGCTGGAAGCTCGGGCACTGCTGGAGTTCGGCCCTTGGGAGTTGCTTTGGGTTGCCCAGGATGCGCCCGGATGCTGGAGCGGTGTGGGATGTGCAGTGAGGAGCTGAAGTGACCCCGTTAACCCTGCTCGAAGCAAGGAGATCAGGCCAGTTAACTGAAAATCACACTGCAAGGACTGGAGGATATTATCCACTTACACAACCACGGCACAGGGGGAGTAAGGTGTCAGCCTCCTCTTTCAGAGGAAGATAAATACATTGTGCACACGTTTATGCATGTATATATGTGTATTGATGTGTAATAATGCACTTAAATCCTTTCATGCTGACTGACACTAAGCTGTGCTGTAGGAGCTTAATGGTTTAAGATGAGGAATGATGAGTTGCTAGATGAGAATCATGTACTAATGTCCACTAACACCACCGTACTGGGGTAGTGAAAATCAAGGTACGAAAAGGCATGGCCCCATTTTGGTTGGAGGAAGTGGGGTGCTCTCAGCTTTGACTTTGGATCTGAAGAGTGCAGCCTTGAGCCCTTGCTGTGCTGGTGAGGAGAGATCAGGTCAGGGTGATGCTGCTGTGCATGGGTCACAACTGGACCCAGGTGCCCAAAACTTGCTAGAACTAAGTACTGAAAAGAGCTCAGCTTTTTCCCTTCCTGCTGGCCACCGAGTGCAAACTCGGTCTGTAAAATGCCCCCTAATATTGCCAAAAATGAAACCTTTTTCTCTGTATATACATCCATGTATACAATAACAATGTGTATATAGTGTTTGCAGTAATAAAATACTTGAACTCCTGTGGTTTCCCATAAACATAGACTAAGGTTTATAACAATATTGAAATCTGTAAACCATTACCTAGGCTAGCACCAGATGTATCCCTGGGGGTCCTCTGTTTGTTCCATGTAATCACTTCCCACTTTTCTGCTGTGTCCTGCTCCCTGGGGGCTGTCTGTCCAAACCACCTTCACCATGGGCACAGGAGAGGGAATCCAGGATGGAGAGAGATGTATGGACTGTATCTGAAGCTGCCTCCACTACAACTGTGCTGAAAACGGTGCCTTTTAACCCATGAAGAGTTTTTATCCTGGCCGCAGGGTGATGGCCAAGGCAAGGAACCGGCTCCGATGGGATGGGATGCTGCTGCTGACTCCTGTTGTGTAACGCGTGTGCCTGTCCCCTGCGCATCCCGGTACCCAAGGGCTGCTCCCGACCCGCGTTGTAAGCAACAAAGAGCAATAAAGACGCCGGGTTTTGTACAAGGCGCTCCCTCGCCTCCGCCTCTGCTTTCCGGGCTGGGCGGGGACGAACGGCCGCGGGGGAGCCGTTACCGGCGGCGATGGAGCCGCACCGGGCGCTGCTGCTGCTGCTGCTGCTGCTCCTGGGGCTGCTGCGTGAGTCCGGGGCCGCCCCTCCGCGGCTGATGCTGGCTCCGGGATGGGTTCAGCACCGCCAGGGTCTCTCTTCCCCCTCCCCTCCAGGCTCCCAGGTCCTGTCCCCGGTCACGGTGCCGCTGCGGCTGCCCCCCAACGCGACCGAGGCACGTCTCCAGCTGCAGGGGTTGGGGTGCTGCAGATGTGCTGGCAGCTGGAACGAGGGGGGATAGACCCATCCTTGCTCTTTAATGGGGCAATGAGCTGCTTGTGCTTGCCCTGGGTGCTCCCAGGTGCCCTCGGCACACACTAATTCTCCCTTTCTCTGCCCTCCTGCACGCCAAGGATGCAGTGTCCTACGTCCTCAGCATCGAGGGGAGGCCGTACACCATCCGCCTGCACCCGCAGTGAGTTGGCCCTGACACCGCTGATGGCGAGGAGCTCAAGGAGCCAGGTAAGGGATGTTACTGTAGGTGCTTCCCTTTTGATGCTTTCCTTTTGTAGTCACTTTTTATCTGAGGATTTCAAGATTTTCGTGTCGAATGAGGTGGGAGCTGCGCTTGCTGATTCGATCCGGTTCAAGGTAATTTCGGACCGTAAGTGATGCATCCCAGAGCCGTGTCCACTCCGTGTTAGGTGATGGGATTGTCCTCTATCCTGCCCTAGGGAAGCTGCTACTACCGGGGCTACATCGACGGCTTCCCCAGCTCAGCAGTGACCCTCAGCACGTGCTCAGGGCTCAGGTAAGGAGGCACCGCACCGGTACCCAGGGATGCTGCAGCACCCGGGTGTCAGCATCCGGCGCTGTCCCCTGGCAGGGGCTTGCTGCAGTTCGACAACGTCAGCTACGCCATCGAGCCCCTGGGCTATTCCCCTGCGTTCGAGCACCTTGTGTACCGCGTGAGGGACGGGCAGGCCGCGGGTTCCCTCCTCGCCAGCAGCCGCCCCGAGGCAGGGCCCGATGGGCTGACGGCGATGGAGGCGTCGAGGCGAGCGCAGGGACGTGAGGAAGTGAGCTCCGAGCGCCGGTTGTCGCCGTGCTGCTGCTGTCCCCGTCACACAAAGGGGGTTTTATCCCATGGGGAGCTTTGTTGGGTGCTGTCTGGGTGGACAGGGATGAGGGGGGATGTTTAGAAGCACCAGTGACCGGGTGTCACCGGTGTTGTTACCTGATGAGAAGCATCACCAAGGTAAAATGGCTTTGAAAACAGCCAGAAATGGCAACGTTAGAACAGCTTCTGCCCTTGGGCTCGTTTGAAGGCATCGAAGAGTTGCTTTTGAACTGGCACTTGAGTAGTGGGGCAAACCTTGGGCACATGGTGACTATAGGGTGTAGGAATAAGCAGCATTGGAGGCTCTTTTCCTTTCCAGCCACTATCAGCTGCAGCACAATCTCCCAAATACCTGCAGGCGTACGTCGTTTTGGACAAGGCTTTGGTAAGCCTGGGCTACTCGTTTTGCCCTTGTGTTTGCCTGATTTTGAGCACAAAATGATGCCATTCCCCACCTTTTGCATGTTTCTTTTGCCTTGGAAACGGTTACATACTGTGGATTTCTAGGGAAGAAAGAGTGAAATCCGTGTTTTACATTTACACGATGGGATGTTGGCAATCATCGTTCCAGTGATGAACGATGCCTGCTCTCATGTGCCCTTGGGTTATCTTTCAGTATGACCACATGGGTTCGGACACGAAGGCAGCGACGCAGATGGTAATCCAGGTCTTCAATTTGGTCAACAGTGTAAGTTTGGAAGCCCTTAGTAAGGTGATGGAGGGGCTGGTGTTGGTAAGGGCCACCTGAGTGCTTTGGTTTGAGGAGATGGCACCCAGTGGCTGACAATAGCAATGGGTGATTGAATGGGTGTTGAGCTCTCAAGGAGAGGGACCCGAGCAGGCGGGTGCTGTGCTTGCAGGTGTTTCATGCTCTCAATGTCACCATCGTGCTGGCCTCCCTGGAGCTGTGGACACAGGACAATAAAGTCTCGACAGCAGGGGAAGCAGAGGACCTTCTGCAGCGCTTTCTGCAGTGGGCAAAGACCCACCTCGCTCTGCAGCCGTACGACACCGCTTACCTCTTGGTGTAAGAGAGAGGTTTTGGTACTCGTTAAAGGTTACTTGGTGGGGATCGGTTAAACCACCATGGGTTAACTGCAGATATTCCTATGAAAAATGGGGGTTTAAGATGCGTTTCTCACATATTTCCTAATTCCTTTATATCCTGGCAGTATTTCTCTCAAGTCCAGCCGGGCTTTCAGTGCTAATGTGGTGGATGTCATTGTGCCCATGGCTCCTGGCCAGGGCACGGTGCAGCCCTGGTCTCTGGGGACACCAGAGCATCCCAGGGACTCAAGCCATACAAACCCAGGACCCCCAAATTACCCCCAGTGCTGTGGTCTCCCTGTGTTTCAGGTACAGGGACCAAGCAGCGTTCATGGGCACCACAGCTCCGGGGAAGGCGTGTCAGAGAGATGCTGCTGGCATCGTGGCCGTGGTACGGTGCTGCCCTGTCCCCCCCTGAGCCATGGGGATGGGTGGCAGCACCCACAGCCGGAGCTGGGATCCGACGGGAAGGATGCGCAGGGAAGATGCTGCAGCCCCGCTCTCTCCTCCTTTAGTACCAGGAGGCCACAACGCTGGAGTCCTTCTCTTCCCTCCTGGCTCAGCTGCTGGGGCGCAGCCTGGGCATCGGCTATGATGAGTCCCCGCAGTGCCACTGCCCCGGGCACGTCTGCATCATGAGCCCCGAGGCGCTGTGAGTTGGTGGTTGGGTACCAGGATGGAGGTTTGGAGGCTGGCAATAGATGCGTTGTCATAGGGATGAATGATTGCTCTGGTTTAGACGCTTCAGTGGGGTAAAAGCCTTCAGCACCTGCAGCATCAGGGACTTTGAGGCCTTCCTGAGGCACGGGGGAGGCACGTGCCTGTTCAGCAGACCCCTCCTGACCGGTCCAGCCTCCCAGAGAGCTGCCACCTGCGGCAATGGCATCGTGGAGCCCGGCGAGCAGTGCGACTGCGGGGCGGCCCAGGTGGGGGATCAGGGCTGGATGTGGGCATTGGTACCGTGTCTGATCCCCGGAGCTGGAGCCAGCCCAAGGTGCATTATGTGGGGTTTGAGATGGTCTCTCACCAATAAGAACAATGTGGGGTTCGTGGTGCCCCCACAGGACTGCTTGAAGGACAAATGCTGTACTGCAGGGTGTCAGTTCAAGCCGGGAGTGAAGTGTTCCTCTGGATCGTGTTGTAACGGCTGTCAGGTAAAGCAGAGCTTTATTTGTTGGAGGAATAGTGTCCCCACCATGAAGGATGGAGACAAAGCTTGTGCTGTGCACAGAGGTTCCAGCAGGAACATCACTGGGGATGCTCTTAGGGCAGTGTGCGACCTGAGTGCCTCAGAGGGCATCCTGAGAGCACTGTGTGGGCTGTGATGGGGGGACCCCCGTGGTGTCTGTGTGCGGACGAAGGCTCCTTCCTGCCTCCTCGTCCTCAGTTCAAGCGCAAGCACTGGCAGTGCCGCCCCGCCGCCGATGAGCAGTGTGACCTGGCCGAGTTCTGCACCGGGGCCTCGGCCTCCTGCCCCCCCGACCTGTACGTGCAGGACGGGCACGGCTGCGAGCAGGGCACCGGTTACTGCTACAAGGGCCGCTGCCAGTCCCCGGACCTGCAGTGCCAGCGCATCTATGGGAAAGGTAACGGATGCTCTGGTTGCACCGGGGCTGCCGTGGGGTGTGTGTGTGTGGGGGGGCTCGGTTTGTGCCTTTGCTCCTCAATGCACTGGAGGGGAGGAAGGATGCAGCTTTAGGAGAGCGTTGCAAGCTCAGCTCTGTCTCTGGTTGATAGGGGCTTCGTTAGCGGGTGGTTCTCCGGGTTCTTCAGAGGTAACAATGAAAGCAATAGCATCAAATGCACGTTGTTATCCGTGAGCAAGCTTAATCAGTAACTGCCCTCCTGTTTGCTAATACCTGGGGCTGGCACCTCAGGGACTGGTACTGTGTTTGCTCCAGTTAGCCAAGAGCATCTCTGCTCTGCTGGGAGCAGCACGAATAGCAAAGGGGTGGTTGGGTACCCTAAGACCTCCCTTTGAGTTCATTTAAACGTGAGTGAATCTTATTGCTAAACTTGTAGGTTCAAGGAATGCTCCCGTGGCTTGTTACGAGGAACTCAACAGCCAGCAGGACAGGTTTGGCCACTGCGGCTTGCAGCCCAGCCAAGGCTTTAAGTCCTGCTCTTGGAGGTAGGCCTGGGGAAGGGCACCTTTAATCAGGGCTTTCCAAGGCAGGAAAGCATCCAGGCTCCAGCTGATAGGAAGATCTGCGATGCCATAAGTGGGTGCGTGTCCTCGTTAGCAGGACCGTGTCTCTCCTTGGGTCCCAGGTTGACTTCCCAGTCCCGCTCATCCTTTCTCATGCCGCTTTGCATCGCGCTCCGTAACGTTTCTAGGGCAGCGCTGCACGCGTGCGTGAGGTTCACAGCCCCTGCACATGGATTTTGTAGGGATCTGAGGTGTGGGAAGCTCATCTGCACGTACCCGCACGGGAAACCCTTCCCGACGGACGTGGCTGCCGTTGCCTACGTCCACGTGCGCGGGCAATTGTGTGTGTCCCTGAATTACCTGCATGCAGGAGCGAGGCTGGATCCCACCCTGGTTCCGCCAGGAACAAAGTGTGGCTCTGGGAAGGTGAGAAAGGGTTTTGTAACCCCCTAAAGCGATGGGACAGGGGCTGGGCGCTGTGATGGCAAAGCCAGGAGCTGTTGTGGTGGTTCTAGGTGTGCATAAACGACACTTGCCAGCCACATTCGGTCCTGGGCTATGACTGCGATAGCAAAGTGAAGTGCCACGGCCACGGAGTAAGAGAATGCGGTGGTTGGTTTGGTGGATGGAAGGGGGGGAAAGAAGGAAGCAGGAACGAAGGGAGAAAGAATTGAGGGCAGCGGAGCTGGGGGAGATGCAGGTGTTGGGTGGTTGGGGTGGGTTTTGCAGGAGGATGATGTGTGATGCTTGCACAGTGTCTCAGAGTCACACGATCCTGCACTTCCGAGTGTGTTCCTTGTACGATTCCCTTCCAAAATGACCTCGGAATGCTGCTAAGCGCCCATGGCCTTGTCCCAGCCATGGGGCAGAGGCTGATGGTGGCCGGGGCAGGAGGGTCCCTTGCATGGATTCATCTCTCAGCACCCATCCCCTGGCTTTCCAGGTGTGCAATAACAAGGGGCAGTGCCACTGCCACCCCGGCTGGAAGCCCCCGGATTGCCTGCAGAGGGGATCCCGCTTGGGGGGCAGCACCCACAGCGGCCTCCCGCCGCCCGATGGGGGTCAGTACCGAGGGGAGGTGATGGGCGCCGGGCCGGGGTGGAGGAGGAGGGCGCTGGTCCCATTCTGCTGCCCCACCAGGTCTGTCCCTGGCGCGGGTGATGGAGGATGTGACAACGGCGTGGCCGGTGCTGGGCTCCTGCCTCCTCCTGCTCCTCCTGGCCGGGGCCATCTGCCTCGGGATCCGGTGGTGGGCGCTGGGCTTGTGCGGACCACGGCCCCCGAGCACCAATAGGTGAGATGCCAGGAGGGGATGGGGCACGGTGCTGCCCCGGGGGGGGGGGGAGTTGATCCCTGGGGCTGGGTGATTCCCTCGGGAGCTGCGGATATGAGGAGGTTCCCCCGGGGCTGAGGGGATCCGGGGATGGGGAGACCCCAGGGATGAAGGGATCCGGGGATGGGGAGACCCCAGGGATGAAGGGATCCGGGGCTGAGGGGATCCGGGGATGGGGAGACCCCAGGGATGAAGGGATCCGGGGATGGGGGGACCCCAGGGATGAAGGGAGCCGGGGCTGAGGGGATCCGGGGATGGGGGACCCCAGGGATGAAGGGATCCGGGGATGGGGGGACCCCAGGGATGAAGGGAGCCGGGGATGGGGGGACCCCAGGGATGAAGGGATCCGGGGTTTGGGGAACCCCAGGGATGAAGGGATCCGGGGATGGGGGAACCCCAGGGATGAAGGGATCCGGGGATGGGGGAACCCCAGGGATGAAGGGATCCGGGGATGGGGGGACCCCAGGGATGAAGGGAGCCGGGGCTGAGGCGCTGCCCCGCACCTCCCCGCAGCGCCGTCACGGCGGGGAGCAGCGAGGTCTCGGAGTGGAGCTCGGTGATGGGGCTGGACACGGACACGGACCCGGACCCGGAGCCGAGCGCGGGCTCCAACCGCGGGCGTTAATAAAGGCGTTGGGCGGAGCCGCGCGTCCGCGCTGTGTGCGGGGCAGGGGGGGGCCCTTTGGGGCCGTTACCGGTAACCGGGGCGCGATGGGAGCCGCGATGGTGACCGCGCTGCGTGAGTGAGAGCCCCGGGACATCCCCGCCTCGGGGCTCCAGCGGATGGGGTCGTTCCCCCATCGCGGTGCCCGGCACGGGAGGAGCCGCGGGCACGGGTTTGATCCCTGCTCCTTGACAAGCGTTGGACCCCGCTGGGGCCGCAGGCGATGCCCAGCTCCCTTGTGCTGGTCGGGTGTTGCTGGGAGCTGCATGGGGATGGTGACCCCGGGGATGGAGCTGGTGGTGTGGTCCCTTCCCAACGGGACGTGCCTTGCGTGGCTGTGGATGGGAGGGGGTGATTGGCATCTCTGCGCCCCATTCCGTTTCCTGGTGCAAGGTGGGCTTCATCTCGCCCAGGGCTCATGTTCCTGGGCTCTGGTCCAGCACTAGGCACGCACAGAGCTGTGTTTCACCCGTGCAAGTGCCTAGGTGCTGCAGGATGAAGGGTGGCTGGATGATAGCAGGGTAGAAACTAGAGTTGGAAGAACCTCTGCAGGTAGCAACTGCATCTGTCCACGGGCTCTAAAGGCGTCTGTGCAGGTATATGCAGTCCTGACATGGTGACGACCATCTGGGATTGTAGCTAGGGAAACCAATTCTTTCCCTAGGGTCACAGATGCTGCTGCACATCACAGTTCCCCAGAAGCTGCTTTCAGAAAGAGCTGGAGAGACGGTACTGAAGCAATCATAGAGTAGAATCATAGCATGGTTTGGGTTGGGAAGGACCTTAAGTTCATCCAGTTCCAACCCGCTGCCATGGGCAGGGACACCTCACACTAAACCATGGCACCCAAGGCTGTGTCCAACCTGGCCTTGAACACTGCCAGGGATGGAGCATTCACAACCTCCCTGGGCAACCCATTCAGTGCCTCACCACCCTAACAGGGGAGAACTTCCTCCTTAGATCCAATCTAAACTTCCCCTGTTTCAGTTTGAACCCGTTACCCCTTGTCCTATCACTACAGTCCCTAACGAAGAGTCCCTCCCCAGCATCCCTATAGCTCCAAGCTCCTTGGAGCTCTCGTGCTCACCCCTTGTGTTTGCAGCTGCCCTCAGTGCCTTTCCACAGCCAATTCCTCCTTTCTCTGCTCTCCTGCACGCCAAGGATGCAGTGTCCTATGTCCTCAAGATAGAGGGGAGGCCGTACACCATCCACCTGCAGCCGCAGTGAGTTGGTCCTGGTGCTGCCCCATCCAGCCACTGCTGCTGGTAACAGGGTCTGGCTCTGCCAGGGCATCACCTACAGCTACGGGACCCTCAGTGACCTCTCTGGATTAGAGCATCGCAGAGCGTTTTCCGAGGGTTTCATTGCTTTTCTGCTCTAGATTCTTTCTATCGGATGATTTCAGGATTTACACGTACAATGAGAAGGGATCTCTGCGCTCCGCCTCCCCCCCTGTCAAGGTAACAGCGACCTGCTCGGTGCTGCCTTGTGCCCAGGGTGCTGCCCCTCGCCACCTTTTTGCTTCCTAAGCGCAGCATGAGGATAAACCAAGTTCTCCTTGCGTGGTCGGATTCATGGTTGGGAAGGGGTTTGGAGGCACTGAGATTGTTTGGTTTAAAGGTGGTGATGCTGACCATGGCCACCCTTCCTGGTGGGGAGGGGACCACGAGAAGAGCCAGCATCGGGTCTTATTGTGCGGGTGCCACATCCCCACACTAGGATTGATCCTTAATTCCTTGAGAGATTGTCCATACAACCCTTGATGGGGCTGCCTTGCAGAAGGGGCTCCTTGTGCTCTATCCTGCCCTAGGGAAGCTGCTACTACCGGGGCTACATCGACGGCTTCCCCAGCTCAGCAGTGACCCTCAGCACGTGCTCAGGGCTCAGGTAAGGAGGCACCGCACCGGTACCCAGGGATGCTGCAGCACCCGGGTGTCAGCATCCGGCACTGTCCCCTGCCAGGGGCTTGCTGCAGTTCGACAACGTCAGCTACAGCATCGAGCCCCTGGGCTATTCCCCTGCGTTCGAGCACCTTGTGTACCGCGTGAGGGACGGGCAGGCCGCGGGTTCCCTCCTCGCCAGCAGCCGCCCCGAGGCAGGGCCCGATGGGCTGACGGCGATGGAGGCGTCGAGGCGAGCACAGGGACGTGAGGAAGTGAGCTCCGAGCGCCGGTTGTCGCCGTGCTGCTGCTGTCCCCGTCACACAAAGGGGGTTTTATCCCATGGGGAGCTTTGTTGGGTGCTGCCTGGGTGGACAGGGATGAGGGGGCATGCTTGTGCCGGGTGTTGGCGTGGGTCATTACCCATGTAGTGCCTAATGAGAGGTGTCCCCAAGGGCTACAAGGTTTGCTGATGGGTTTGTAAAAGGGGGGTATTTCTCCCTCCGGTTTGCAGATGGTTGGCAGCGATGTGCCGGCTGCTTCAGCCATGGGATTCATGGGAGCATCCCAGGGCTCACCTTAGCCCAGAGCCAATGCCATTAGCAAAAGCCTTTAGCTTTGTCCCAAGTGTTAGTGCATGGCTTTTGCTGCCTGTTCTGATGATAGCATCAGCAGATGGCAGTGCCTTCGGGAGGGTTCAGTGTCTCAGAGGAGCCAGCATTCCTTCTGCCTCCTGACTGAGCTGGTGCAATGAATGATTAACAGTGAAGAATCCTGTTTTCCAGCCCAGGCACGAGAGGAAGCTCGCGCTGCACCTCATTTTGGAGAGGGCTTTGGTAAGTCTGGGTCAGTCGGTTCCTGTCCTGTGTTTGCTTTCTTCCCCTGGCTCGAGCTGTGATAAATCAGTGCTAAATCCCTGTGGCTGTCCCCATGGTCCTGCCCGGCCTGTGGCCACGTTTCAGTGTGCAGAAACCCCTCTGATGAAGATAACCCCAACGTGCTTCTGCATGGCAAATAACCTACAACCAACCTCGTGTCCTGTTTCAGTACGACTACCTGGGTGCAGACGACTATGCTGTGGTCCAGAAGATGGTTCAGGTCGCCAGCCTGCTCAGCATTGTAAGTTTTGTGTGATTTGGATGTACTGAGATGCAAAATGCGATGGTTCCTTTCAGCACACTGATATCC